CCCCGAACAAGCTAGGCAAAGAAAAAAAAAATCAAAATATATTATTTCATTAGTCCTGCAGTTATTAGAATTAAATGGACATCTCTTTTTCAGAGTCATAAAACAAAATCTAGCCTTCTTGAGTATCTTGACAGGGCATCCAATGTTTCACTGAAAGTTATTTCCATATCTTAGATAATATGTTTAGAGTTTAATATTTTAGAGTTAAAAACTGTCTGCAGGGCTGTGAAATAGGAGTCACATTACTAGAAGCAGCTAACAGACAGCAGCAATGCAGATGAACATCAAGACCATTTAAAAGGAGAGAGGGTTGTTAACACCTGCAGAATGAAGATTGTAGAAGGAATCAAGTAGATTATAATGAGCTATGAAGTCAATTGACTCCAACACTGCTGCCTGAATATAAATCCTGCTGCCACTACCAAGTTGGTTTTAAAAACTTCGGGTGGAGCAGGAACCAAAGCAGGATGCAAGTGCAACAGCGCACCCCCTGCTTAAATTGGACTCAACTCAGCAAAAAAAAAGGTTAAATTGGATGTAAAAAGGCAAAGACCTTGGCATGACTTTCTGTACAGATGTGGATTTCACCCAAGAATAAATATCCCTAAAACATGTCAAAGAAGATTTATGGGTTTCCTGGTGCCAAAATGGTAAAGCTGAAGTTTTTGCTTCTACACATGTCTAAAACTGTTTAAAAGAAGAAGCTACCTGACTTTTCTTGGCTGTTTCGTTAGTCAACTGATTTACTCTAAGAAGCCACTGCATACAGTAGAGACATTTAAAAATTAACAGTAGCTGTTTCAAAAGAAAGTTTAAGAACATTATAAGATCTACCAATGGCAATTAAAAATGAAGAACTATGTGTAGTCAATAAGGGGGAAAAAGCCAGTAATTGCAAATACTAGTTCCAATACTGTAAGATTTTAAGCCCTCTCCACTTCCATTTAAAGGACTGGGAGGTGAGAATGCACAACATGCTTGAGGTATTCGTTTCCTTGTTTCTAATAAACAAACAAAATGATGTTTTATCTGAAATCTATTCTTTTAGCAAATTATTAGCTGCTTTGTTACATACCAGCGCCTGGAGTTGTCAACAATCACACCATTATCTATAGAAAACATGTCTGTTGGCAATCCAGCAATATTCCAGGCTCGGATTTTTATTGGGTCACCAAGGATTTTACTCAAAGAGAAATTCTCAGAACAAGGGATGTTTTTCTCCTACAAGAAAAAAAAAATCTATTCTATATTTATCTTGTATTAAAATACTGCTTCATCATGAAATATTAGCTTATTAAAATGTGCTTTAAATAGTTTGTCACAGCATGGAAGATGATAAAAAGATTGAATGGAAAATAAATGCACTTTTGCAGAAAAACTGGAAGATTTTCCCCAATTTGTTAGATATTTGGTAGGGACTTCCCCCCAACTTTTTCTGAGATCTTTGTAGGAATTTTCCCCAATTTTTGTAGGAATTGTATGATTTTTTTTATCCTTTTGTAATACATTCTGTGGTTGTAACACAACACTGCAGTACTAGCAAAATCAGAACCGGACAGAAATCATAATACCATTTTTCTTTAAAATGACTGGTCCCTTTCCAGAATCATAGCTTAAACTTTAATCTCCTGCCTTGCTGTACCTGACACTTAAGTCTCCAATACTGCAAAGAGATGCCAGCAAGATCCTCACTGGAATTAAATGAGGTGCTGGAGGGGTGTAGAAGTTTGTGAATTCTTTGTAGAATCATAGGCAGGCAAGGCTGTTTGGGTAGATGTGATATCTTTTATTAGACCAACTAAATCATGATTGTAGAATCATGACCTTTGACTGCTATTTCACTCTGGGTGTCAGTATAACCCTTTTGATACTAGACACTTTAGAAATGTTTCATTTTTATCCGGTGGAAATAATAAAGTATCAAGAATAGTGCTGTTGAGAATACGTTAGTATAATATAAGAGTTTACTTGGGGACATGGCTTTTATCAAGATTGCAAAATTTTCTATAATTCATTTTATCCACAATTAGGATTATAGTCTGATTAGAGTCCTAGGCCCTCCTGCCTGTGAAGCGATTTCTTTATTTATTTAAAACCAAATCTTGAAGCTCTCTTGCTTTTACAGTAAAAGCTCTGTAATCCAGCATCCCCCGGGAATCGGGGATGCTGGATAACAAAATATGCTGGTTAATTGAGCAGCATGGGCTGCCACTTCTCCCGCCGCGTCTGGGGCATCCCTCCACATCTCCCACAGGCCCTGCGGAACAGGGAGGCGGGCCCCGCATAGCCCTGTGCAACCTGTTATGCCCCCAGGCCATGGGGGCTTGGCAGCTCAGGCTGCTTTTCCCCAGGCCATGGGGCCTCAGAGAAACCAGGAGTCTCATGGTAGGCACTTCCGGTTTCACTTTATCTTACAAGCCGGCATGCTGGTTAATTGAGCGTGCCGGCTTGTAAGATGCCGGTTACTAGAGCTTTTACTGTACTTAGATTTTACTCAAGGCTTGGACCAACTTCTGTTTTCATATCTGAAAGCCAATGGCCCAACTTCTGTTTTCATATCTGGTTCAGCAGTGTAAATAATAGGGGTTTGTGAAATGGACCGTATTCGATTCAGATTCAGATTAGGCTTGAATCATGGATAGTGACTCGATTCATTGATTTGGATCACTGTTCCTGATTAGATCTGGTTGAATCCGAATCTGAAGATTCGATGCTAATTTGGAGAATCAGTGATTTGGACGTAGAGACAGCTTTAAATGCTTTTTCTACATACCTCAAGGTACCAGCACAGCTTGTGAACGCTGCGATGATGGGGCAGATGGAGGAACCTACAGGAGTGCAGGGGAACCCCCCCATGTGCTCAGTGGTGATCCCAGAAGTAGACCAGAAATACATCCAGTCCACTTCCAGCTCCTCCAGGAAATGCGCTGGGGGGGCCCTCCATGCCCCCCTCCCCCCCCCGTTCAGTGACTGGCTGTAGGGGAACCCTGGGTGGCCCCAGACCCAGGAGGCACCAGTCACTGAGCCAGGCGCATGCAGGGGGGGCCCCCAGCATGCTCCCTGGGAGACCTGGAAGTGGACCAGAAGTCCATCCTGGTCTGAACACAACATCTCTTGACACAGTTTAAGAGTAACTGGCAGGTTCTGCATAAAGGACTTTGCTTCAGATATTGTTAAGTAGCTTTAAGTTCCCTGAAAACCTTACAGGTCATCAGTATGTACACCCCAGCCAAAAAAAGGAGGCATCAAATCATAGTTGAACTTCACTTTCCTTTCTAGCCTCAGAAGTCAATCATTTGTAGATGGAACTTCCCTAGGATATGGAATTTCCCCAAAGAGTAAAGGTATTAGTGTGTTATAAGAGAGAGACTGGAACTCTCTGTCACTCTAAGGCTAGAGACAGACATTCAACAAGCCTGAGCCTGAATTGATTCAATCTTTGCAGGTTAATTTAACCTGGCTAGATGTTTATCGTGAGATGTTTACAGTGGAGTTGCTTAAAATCTCAGTATCTACACACGCAGCCCTATTGGGCCACAGCAAATTAATAAATGGCACTGTAGGTTAGCACATGTAAACACAAGTACTATCCTATGGCAGTGTTATTTACTGCACCGCAATGCACATGTAGATGCTGACGGGGCTGGCTGGGGCATAAGGGTGCTTCAGTGCAGGGGCTGCCTGCTAGCTAGCCCAGCACTGGAGCACCCCCATGCTCTGGCTAGCCCCTCCATAGAATGTTGAGCCAGGTTGGAGCAGCCCTGAGCTGACAGGCTGATGCCCTGGACCCCCTGCAGCCAGGGCTGCTCTGACCCAGTTCAATGTGCTGTGGTTCTGGGCATAGGTTCAAGTGATGTGCCCAGGAGCAATGAACTGCACTGGAATTTATTGCATCACATTAATAGCATGTGTAGATGTGCCCACTCACATGGTGAAGCTGCATGGTATAGGACAGGAGAGCCTTATGATTCACCAAGAGAATGACAAAGAGCAGAGTAAAAATATGGAAAAGGAAAGAAAAAGCTTTTTCAAGTTTTAAAAATGAAAAAAGACAGAAGATAAAAAAAAGGGAATTCATAATTTCAGTCTCAAGCCAAGATGGTAGAGAAGAGCTCAGGAGCTGGAAGCACATATCTCTGGATCTTTGGCATCCAGCACATAGAAAGGTAGGATATAAATGCATGATTTGGGTACTGCTGGGGAAAAAACATCTTAGAATGCAAGTGCTTGAGGTACATATACACTCCAAGGGAATGCACATATGGAAAAAACATACAAAGGAAAATTTCTGGATTTGGCTCTCAGATTTTAAAGCATTTTGAAAATGCCTGGTATGAAAGTACTATTTAAATTCAAGATAACCTTTCTAACCTTGCACAACTTGCTCCAATCTTTAGTACACTCTTGTCGGAAACCAGCAGTGAAAGCACCCAGATAAGCTATTACTCCAGCTGATACCAGAACATCTCCTGTCAAATTATCATAAGTATTTTGAAGATCTTTTGCAGCATTACACCATCTAAAAGCAAAAATACAGAGTAAAAGAAGGTTAAAACCTCTGCATGCATAGTATTAATAGTACACATTGTCAACTTGTATTCTCCCTGTTTGTTAAGAGTGAAATTCAAAAGGAGGATTAAAACATTGCATTTATGCTGTTAACTGTTGCTATAAAAAAACCTCCTGATTTTTTTCCAAGCGTTTTGATGGGCCCCTTTCAAATGGCAAAGGTAAACCCCTTTGGAATTTTTCAAAGGACCTGAAACATCACAGTCTTCAAATGAGGGGGCAGAAAATTAAAGGCTCAGGAAAACAGAACTTGGATTTGTGTATGTGGCTGACCTTGATTTTTCTCCACCAAGGCCTCCAATCAACTTTTCTGCTCTTTCTAGTTTCTTAGCGCACAGATCCACCTGGAATTCTAGACGAGCCTTTTCTTCAGTTTTTTCCTCAAAGGTTTGTTGCAAAGCTGCCAAACGATTTTCCACTGACGTAAGCTCATCTCTCTTCTGATTTAATAGTGCCAAAGTCTCTGCTAAAGACTGCTGCGCTTCTCCTAAACGGGCTTTCTTAGGAGCAACAACCTATTCAATTAGAATTAATGCGCCAATATTAAACCTGTATATTACAACTTCACTGTTGTAGTAAGGCTGGAGTACTGTTGTTGCCATGACGGCCCAGGAAATGTCCAAGAGGCAAGAATTTTTTGTGATATTTATCAATGGACCAACTATATTTGGGAGAACTATTGGACAAGCATAGGCATCAAGGGTGCTGGCAGACATGGGGGAAAATAAACAAACCACACTTTACTGGAAGCAGCAGCACATTACTGCGGCTCAGCTCCACAGCGTCTGTATGGATCCGGTGATTCAACATGGCTTTTTGGCACTTTTAGTTAATAGCTGATTCAATCATCCTCACTAAAAGCACCAAAAAAGCCTCACTAAACCACCAAATCTATACAGACATTGGGAAAGCTGGGTGCAACAAATGCCTCTTCTGGGCATGTGCTGGGCTCAGCACAGGAGTACTCCAAGTTTAAAGTAAAGTGCTGTTTTGTTTTTTGTTTCCATGTCTTCAAGAAGCCCAAGTGTCCTTCATCAAATGGCCTGACCTTGATGCCTGAAAGCTTGTCCAGCAGCTCCCCTGACTATGCAGTTGGTCCAATAATAGACATCACAAAATCCTTGCCTCTCAAACTTTAGCTGATACACATGTATGTGCACCAGTAATTTAACATAACACTTTGGGTCAGTATACCAAGGGGATAAAGGAAAAGATTTTGTAATATTAATATCTGGGAAGACACCATGATGATAAATAGAAAAGTGGGTCCTGACATTGTAAATGGACTACATCTTACTTGGTGTGTTAGCTGACCATCCACTCTAAGTCTTAAAATATATTCAATTTATCTCACTTGAATAAAGAAAATAAATATTAACCAGGCTCTGAAACTTATGCACCTAAGAAAGAAAACTGCTACAGATGCAGTGAACATAATATGGTGATGCCTGCCAAAGAGTTGGAACCAATATCTGATTATGACAACAGCAATAGCACTACTAATGCCAAAAATATCACAGGGAAATAGATGATGACTACGGTAAACAGAAATGTGCGCGCTTTTTAAATTTCTCTCTAGGTTAAAAAACCTACATAAAAAACCTCAAAGAACATGGTTTCTACATATCTTTCACTAAGCAAAAAAAATGCTTCATGTATACTATAAATTATTTTCAATTTATAAATGGCAATTTAGGCTGCATCATTTGAAATAAAAGCACACAAATCATACTCTTCAAAGCTTCTTATTAGAATGGACATAGATCATGATGCAGGTTCTATTTTATTCACTAATGCCGCTCACAGCTTTCCACTTGATCTGCCCTCTAAAAGCTTGACCACCCACAAGCCTGGACTGTCTGGACCATGCAACTTAAGATGGCCTCTTTTATATATGTAGCTGCTACTACAGTTTTAGATAGAAGTGGAAGTTCTGCATGTCAGTCTATATCTTATTTGTACCTTGTCCCTATCAAATCTGACAGGTATCTGCTCTCAAACAAATCTGCACAGAATTAATTTACTCTGTGCTTCTTACATTTTAAATGAATCATCCTTCATTCAGTTTCTGACAAAGAGCCTTTCAGTTTCAGATTAACTTCAATCATAATACAAAACCTAGATTTGCACCCCTCATATGTATGCGGTTTCCAGGGGGGTCATTGCAAGTCTGCAGGGCTGGGATCAAAACCATACCTTTGCAACTCTATCATAGACTTCCATTGCCATAATCCATTTACACAAACCCTCAGCTGCTGAAGATGCTTTAGCCACCTTAGGGGGATCAAACTCAGGATTAGTCAAATATTCAGAACGAATCTTCTGCATGATCGCCACCTAGATGATAAAAAACATGACAGCTGTATGAAAATGCTATTTATCAAGAGCCCAGTTCTGTACCATTTCTTCACTGGTCTGATTTAGGAAAACCTAGCTTTTTTAAAAGACCTATTGCTCACACATTCCTGGATAGCTAAACCCATGCAGAGAGAGACTTTTTATTCAAATAGATGACAGACAACAGCACAGATTCTTCTTCCACTACTGACGAAGAGAGGAAAGAGCATCTTTGCAGACAGGCTCACTAACTTATTGAAAAGGGCTTTAAACTAGGTTTGCCAGGGGATGGAGACCAAAGCCTTGAGAGTATGTGGGGAAGTGAGTGACCTAGAGGAAGACCAAGCAGGAGTGGACAACAGCGGAGGTTTTCCCATTCTTCCTGAGAAATCAGGACTATTGGCTACATACCCTTAGGTGCATGCACATGAATACACAAAGCCCGGGAAAGAAGCAGGAAAAACTGGAAGTCCTTGCACAGTCATGGAGCTATGACATGATTGGATTAACAGACACTTCGTGGGATAGCTAACATGACTGTCAAGGATGGGTACAAATCATCCAAGAAGGACAAGCAGGGGAGAAGAGGAGCAGGAGTTGCACTTTATGTAAAAGAGCTGTATGATTGCTCAGAGCTCCAGTATGAAACTGGAGATAGGCCTGCTGAAAGTCTCTGGATTAGAGTGAGAGGGGAGAGCAACAAGGGTGATGTTGTGGTGGGAGGGTCTGCTACAGACGACCACACAGGGAGGAATTGGTGGATGAGGCTTTCTTCAAACAGCTAGCAGAAGTTTCCTGATCATGGGCCCTGGTTCTCATGGGGGACTGCAATCACCCTGACATCTGCTGGGAGGGCGATATACCAATGCGCAGGCAATTCAGGAAGTTTTTGGAGAGCGTTGGGGACAAATTCTTAGTACAAGTGCTGAAGCAGCCAACTAGGAGCCATGCTCTTGTTGACCTATTGCTCACGAACAAGGAGGAATTGGTAGGGAATGTAGTAATTGATGGCAAGTTGGGCAGCAGTGGCTACAAGATGATTGAGCTCAGGATCCTGTGGAAAGAAAGGAAGGAGAGCAGCAGGATCCTGGACTTCAGAAAAGCACACTCTGACTCACTCAGGGAATTTGTGGGCAGGATCCATTGGGGAGCCAGTCTAAGTGGGGGAGGAGTCCAGGAGAGCTGGCTGTACTTTAAAGAAACCTTACTGAGAGTACAGGAACAAACCATCCCGACGTGCAGGAAGACTAGCAAATACGGCAGAAGACCAGCTTGGCTGAGCAGGGAACTCTTTAGTAAGCTAAATCACAAAAGGGAAGCTTATAAGAAGTGGAAACCTGGACAAACAACTAAGGAAAAGTATAAGGGTATTGCTTGGACATGCAGGGATGAAATCAGGCAGGGCAAAGCGCAATTGGAGTTGCAGCTAGCAAGAGACGTGAAAGACAGTGAGAAGGGTTTCTACAAATATGTCAATAAGAGGAGGATCAGGGAAAGTGTGGGTCCCTTACTAAATTGGGGAGGCAACCTAATGACAGAGGATGAAGAAATGGCTGAAGTGCTCAATGCCTAGTTTGCCTCAGTCTTCACAGGTAAGGTCAGCTCCCAGACAACTGCACCTGGCAGCACAGTTTGGGGAGGAGGTGAGCAGCCAACTGCGGTGAAATAATAGGTTAGGGACTACAGTAAAAGCTCTGTTATGCGGCATCCCCTGAGAATGGGGAATGCCGGTTAATCAAATGTGCACTGTCTGGTGCACACCCTGGCGTCAGTGTGCCGGGGGACAAGGAGGGGAGCCCCATGCAAGCTGCTTTACCCTGCACAGGCCGCTTTGCCCTGGGCCAAGGGCTGAAGAAGTGGCAAAGAAAAACAGGAAGTCCCCCAGAAGTGGTACTTTCACTTTTGCCGCATCCCTCAGATGCTGGTTAATAGAGTTCTCCGGCTAATAAGGTGCCAGTTAACGCAGCTTTTGCTATATTTAGAAAAGCTAGACATATAAAAGTCCATGGTGCAAAACAGGATACACCAGAGAGTGCTGAGGGAGTTAACCAATGGGATTGTAGAGCCACTGGCCATTTGAAAACTCATAGCAACCAGGAGAGGTCCCAGATGATTGGAAAAGGGCAAATATAGTGCCCATATTTAAGAAAGGGAAAAAGGAGGATCCAGGGAACTACAGACCAGTCAGCCTCACCCCAGTCCCTGAATAAATCATGGAGCAAATCCTCAAAGAATCTGTTTCTAAGCACTTGGAGAAGAAGGTGATCAGGAACAGTGAGCAAGGATTCACCAAAGGCAAGTGTTGCCTGACCAACCTGATTGGCTCTGTGGATGTGGGGATACCAGTGGATGTGGCATACCGTGACTTTAGCAAGGCTTTTGATACAGCCTCCCACAACATTCTTGCAGGCAAGCTAAGGAAGGATGGGCTGGATGAATAGTCTGTAAGTTGGATAGAATCGGGACAAATATCCACTGAATCAAATCAGGGACCGAAGCTTCACACATTCTTATAAAAGCTCTCAGGTCAACAGAGATTTCCAGCTTTCGACTCAACTTCTTTTTTATTCAGATTATTTCCATTGAAGCTAGTGGTGAATTTGCTGCCTGGTATATTAGCCTATATGTTTGTTTTTTGGAAGCAAAGTAATCATTTAAAAAAGCACTGAATAAACACTTACTGGAATATTATCTTTGTCATATTCTTTCAGATCCTTCAAGAAATTCATGTCACCCAGAAGTTTCTTGCTAGGCCCCCAGTAATCAAAGACCTGAAAAGAGAATTGGAAACTAAAATCTAAAATTTTAAAAACTAAAAAGAATCCATAAATAGTCTCTACTTAAGACAATCATGTATACGCATTACACAAGTTTGTTAAGAATCAGGAACATGGCAGATTTCAGGATTTAGTCCAGAAGGGTGGTATTCTGCAGACTTAATATGTTGTATTTACTCAAATCAAAGTCTACTCTAAATTTAAGATGACCACCCCCATAATTAGATTCTATATCAGGAAAAAAATATAAATTTGTTATAATTTTTCAGATATAGAATCTAATTATCAGAGGGTTGTCTTAAACCCAACATACATTCGTCCCCCCCTCACTGCTACAGCAGGAAAATTGTGGCTGGGGGTGTCAGGTAACTCCCTTTAGCCTCAACCTACTCAACTTCTTCCTCCTGCAGCCTCCCCGCCTCTCTCTCCCACTGGTATCCCCTCCCCACAGCCCCTGCCCCTCCCTCCAACTCTCCACAATCTTTGCCCCTTCCCCCCCACCTCTGGTCCTTGCCATCTCTGCCTCTTCCCATTCCCCTCCACCCCTTACTGTCAGATGCTGCTTGGGTTCTGTTCCCTCCTGAAACACGGCACATGAATGCTCAGACCCTGCCAGGCCATGCAGCAGTGTCAAAGCTGCTGATTAGCTGGGCAGGGGACAGAGTGTCCATGTGCTCTGTGCCTGGGAGGGAACCCAGCCTGAGCCAGAGCCAAGCTACAGCTGACAGTAAGGGGGGGGGGGTAGGGAGCAGAAGTTGCAGACAGGAAGTGGAGTTGGGGAGAAACAGGAGGTTGTTTTGGGTCACCTTGTCTGTGAATCTAAGACAAGAGATTTTTCTCCCATGCTGACTAGAGAAAAACACCTCATCTTAGATTCAAGTAAATTAGTACTACTAATCCAGAGAATCTGCCACTTTATTTCCTCAGATATATTTCTAATTTACGGCCTTAGCTACCCTAATGTCCTAATATCAGAAAGAGGCTCCTTATCTAGATGACAATGTCAAGAAAAAGAGGAAAAAATTCTTAACTGCTCATGTTTCATGAAGGTGACTTCTCTCTAAGGAGGCAGTCAGGGGCAGAGAAATCTGCGAGGGCAAATATTTCCCCAAATCCAACCTAAAATCATACTGGGGGAGAGGTGGTTATTTGGAGATGCATCCTTACAGAATGCCAAGTAAATTACCTGAGTTCTCTCACAAGCGGTTCCATAATACTACAGTATACAGGTTAGAAGTTTTGTTTTCTCCTTATGGCAGTAGACAACCTGCATACATGGTTTTATTATATATGGCTTTGTAAACATCTGCCAATTTTATGAGATCTTGAGAATATGTATTTATATTTTTTCATTTGAGAAAAAGGGCTATATGTTGAGAAGAATTAAACATATTATGATTTTTTTATTTAAAACTTGCTATCCACCATTTTACCTTGCCTCCGGTCCCTGTAGGATCTGCAATTTTTTCAGGTTTTATGTCTTTCATGACACAGACAGCAGCCATCACTAGTTTGACACCAGATGGGGGATTTTTCATTGATTTCACAATTGTTATGTCAGAAGGCTAAAACGAAAGCGACATTTTAAAAATAAAATGCACAGATTAAAGTATTACATTAAAAATATCAAAGTGAGGTATAATCCTTCAAACTACTGAGAGATTTTAATTCCCACTGAGACAGTAAGAGCTGAGGATGTTTGTTCACCTTGTATGAGGAAAACAGCTTCCTTCTATGATAAAGACCCATGTGGTTTAAGCTGATGACAAAAACATATAAAAAGTAGTGTTCAAACACAGCAGTCCTTTCTTTGTGTCCCAAAAGCAAAATAAGATTCTAAAAAAAAGTGTTCTTGCATTCTGAGAAATAATGCAAGGAGAAAATCTACTGAACTGCAACTGTGTATCTTGGTGTCAAAAACTGAAACAACAAAAATTTTAAAACTTTTGTTGCCTTCTTAATGGATTCTTGGGCAAATAACTCCAATTGTGCAGAAACATTAAATAACTCTTTAGAGTTTTTTTTTTAGCTTGCCTTCAGAGTGTCAAGTGCAGCAAGTGCTGCTTCAAGGGCTGGAATTGCTTCTGCCAGGTCACTCTCACATTCATTTTTCAATTCCTGGGCTTCTGCTGCTTTCTCTGTTGCAATCTCTTCATCTATTTTCACAGTTTTCCTTTTTGCTTCCACTTCTGCAGACTCCTTCTCTATAATCTAAGGACAACAAAGATCATCAAGTATCTCATAAACAGCGATTAATTGATCAGCTACCTGAAGATATAAATTAGAGTGGTTGTTTTAGCTAATTGGATATTTCAAGTTAGTATATAAATCCCTTTTAATTTATATTAACCTGATGTGCATTACGAATTATCTCCTGAACATAAACAGAAAAGATCAACACATAAACAGAATTTTGTAAGAGTAACATGACACCACTGAATTCATATCGTTACGTATACAGACACAATTAGTTAGCTGAAAGAATCATAAATAGCTTTCAATCTGAAACAAGATGTGGAACTGAGAGTGGTGTTCTTTGTTCTAAGTAAAGGCACTCTGGGTACAATATCAGTTCTGGCCTTAGAGGCATCCAAACCATGGAGTCTTTCTGTATTTTACATTAGACCATCCATTGGTTAAAAAAAAAAGGCAGAAATCATGCTAGCAGCAAGGACCAGAACTGAGGCCTCTTTCCCTGTGGAGGACTGTTGCAACCACCAAAATAGAGAACTCCCTCTTGCTTGTCTTCTAGCTGCATGACTCCTGCAGTTTTGTATGCAGAGTGACACGTCGGTAGGAGAGATGGAGGATGTCCCCCATACAAATAAATCTGTTGGTGATTACGGGAAGTGGGACTCGTGGGTTTGAATCTTTTCAGGCTGGAAAGGGCCTATAACCCAGGCCTTCAACTCACTTCCTGGGTGAATATTTTTATTCAACAAGCTACTGGGCAAATGGTGATCACCATCTCCCCTGTGCTCAGCATTTCCCACTGCCTAGTTTTTGGCACTTCTGGGCTTCCTGGGTTGCTCTCTGAAGGTACTCACCACTGTAGAGAGAACATATGCACCTACACCTGATCAAATTGTACTGTGCTCTTGTGTCAAGACACCTAGATGTTGGACATTCCAACTTTGAAATGTAGGCACCCCTGAAACCAAACTGGATTGTACCTTAGATCAGTGGTTGGCAACTTTTCAGAGCCACAGCCTGCAGCTGTTTCTCCCTGCCCCTCAGCTATGGCACGGGCACAGCTCCTCACTAACCAGCAACAGCACAGCTAAGTCTTCTGCTGGTGGAATGCTGCTAAAGGCCACTGCCAAAGCCACACAGCATGATGGGCCAGATCCAGCTTGTGAGCTGTATGTTGTCAACCCCTTCCCTCAGTCCCCAAAAATTTGAAATTCCCATCATAAAACACGCCACATCTAACAACAATACTAAACACAGACAAGACTTTTAAAAGTGTGCTTACAATATAAAAGGTAGAAAACTTACTCGATACTGTTGTGTACATAGGCAGCAACTTAAAATATAGTTATAGTCTGTAACAGACTATATCTATTGTATTTTCAAGTGAGGAATCAACATTATTCAGTGTAATGATTTTCCTGCCCCTAATTCTCCCCAGTTGCCATAACAGTGACGTCTAGTTTCCTCAAAGCTTACTGTACAGCAGTTGTTGGAGAGTCTGGCCTGGAGTACAACTTTATGAGGAGGAAGATATATAAATGCATTTGCAAAAAATATTTTAAAGGTATAATCAGCTTCACAAATACATCCATAGTTAACTTGCCTTTCTCTGGTCCCATCATAACATCCCATAAGACCAATCATATGTATTTACTTGGGTTGTAATATTTAAGGAAGCTAGTCTCAAAATCCCAGCCTATAATTTCAGTGCATGTAATGATGGGCATTTCAAAATTCAGGGTCTTGTCTTGTACTCAGAAGTCCTATTCAGACTCCCTAACACACTGATGAATGTTCATACCCATGGAAGAACCAGATCTAATAGATAGTAGCTATGAATTTCCCTTCCAGAGCACAAAAAAAGACCTTCGCTGCAAAGCCACTCTTCATCCCTCAGATTAAGAGGTTTGAGGGATCATTATAACTATTACATCTACAATTCTCACAACTACAGGCCTACTGAAAAAGAACACAGTCCAAAGCCTGAACTCATATCTCATGTTAGAAATAGCATACAGGACTACTAGAGAACAACCCCTCTCATTCACTTGAAAGCCCACTTCTGAACAGTTAAGGCTCTGAAGTATGGACAAAATATAACGTACAGTAGGGCTGTGCAAAATTTCAGCAGCCATTTCATTTTGGAGGTGTTTCAGGCTGTTTCGGTGCCCAAAACACCAAATCTAAATCAAAACGGAAGGCTCCAAAACATCTCTGAAATGAAACGAGGCATCCAAAATGTTTCAGAAATGTTTTGGAAAATTTCAGCGTTTCAGAGCCAGACTTGCAGGGAAACAGCTGTATGCTGCTGCCCTGCTGCGCAACTTGGCTCCACAGGGAGCAGAGATCCACACTGGGGGTCTCTTTGCTGCCGCTGCCCTCGTGACACGGAGCTGCATGGGGAGGGCAGCGGTGGCAAGAAGACCCCAACACAGATCTCTGCTCCCTACAGAGCCAGGTTGTGTGGCAGGCCAGTGCTGGTTCTTGCTGCACGACCTGGGTCCACAGGGAGCAGAGATCCAGGGCAGTGTGGGGCAGACAATCTACTCCCTGTGTAGCCAAGTTGCACAGCAGGAACCAGTAGGCTTGCTCACTACTCTGCGCTGCTTCCCTGCCCTGTGACCTGACATGACAGGGATCAGAGATCTGCGCGGGGGTCTCCTTGCCTGCACGGAAGGCATGGGCCCTCCCCCTTCCCTGGATGAGCCACCCACAGTCCCGTCCTGCTCCCTGATGGGGCCCTGCAGTCCCCAGCCTCAAGCACCACCTGGCTGGGCAGTAGAAACAGGTTCAGAGGCAATTCGGTGGAAACAAAACAAGACAGTGATCTAAAACACCAAAATAAATCACTGTACTCTGAAACGGCCGAATCCAAAACCGACTTGAAATACAGCTGTTTTGCACAGCCCTACTGTACAGTAAGCATATTATTATGCAGATGATGTATCCATACTATTCACACTCATGCTGTAAGCCACATTTGTGCATTAAAAAAAAAACTAACACTGGATAATCTCTTTTCATAACTCTAGCCTCTTCCCATTTGGACAGGCCTCACACAATCAGTATTTTGGATTCATGCAAAACATTAACAAAAGTATTTGCAACATGTAAAAGAACTCCTAATCAAAGGAGCTGTAAAATATATTACTGGACTGAGTCTACTGTACACCTTAAGTCAGGGGTGTCAATCTCACCTTCTGCCCCAGGTTGAATGGATCTTTGTCGGTCAGATTCAGCCTGGGGTATGTGGCAGCAATTATGACAAGTCTGACACCAGCCCAAGGCATGTGGCAGTGGTGACAACAGCTCCAGGGCCAGCATGGGGGCATGCAGAGGCAGAATGGCAGCTTCTGCTGTATGCCTGTTCTGTATACACTACAGCATAGTGGCAGCTCTGGCTCCTGCATAGGGCATGTGGTGATGACTCCAGCATGGGCCAGCAGTGGGGTTTGTGGTCAAGGAGATAGGCTGTGGCAGTAGGCAAAGTGGCTGGAAGGTGATTGAGGCTGTATCAGCCATAATTCGCCCTCCTGCCACCAATTACTATGCCCATCCAAGCACATGGGCCCCAGATTCTGTGGCAAGCCACTCCCCTCAATTTCCAGTTTCCTGCCAGGATAGACAGAGCAGCTCTACAGGACCTATCTGGACCACAGACCATATGTTTGACACTCCTCTCAAATGGGGTTTATTCCTGAAGAACAGTTCTTTATCAGAGTGCCACAGGGTATGGTTCTCAACCTTTTTAGACTCAAGGCTCCGCCCCACAAAATGCCAGCTCTTCACTTCCACTTTTCTTTTTTGATTATGGAAAGATAACAGAACAACTTTCATCTTGCAAAGAACTCACAGGAAGACCACAACAGGGCAGAATGTTTTGACACTCTGGATTCTTATTTGAAATCTTAATAGTTTGTTTTGTGAATCATGTGCCAGTGTTTGCACTATGGGGTACAGCTTTCATAGGAGCTTTCATCAGCAACAGCTTCTGTTGGGAGGATATGCATGTCCATATTTACTGAAACATTTGGAAATCCCCTTTTTTCAACATGATAATTCTTAATTAAAATAATTTTCAGGCCATGACAAACAGAAAATCAAGTATTTTATCAATGAAAAAATATCTGTATAGTTCTACCTTCATCATATTTGCATTATCCAGTTTAGCTTGCTCCAGTTTAGGCTTCAAATCAACCAATTCTTGCTTCATTTCTCCAACCTAGACAGACATTTCCTTATAAAATTATCACAGTAGCAAATATTTTAAATAGTGCAAATAAAAGAAAAATGTAACTGTGATCTTAAATCAAATATATTACCCAGATTCAGATCAGAGAAACATCAATATTATAATAATAAAAAGTATGAAAATAGTATGTGAAATTATATTCTACTGAAATCAGTAGTAAAACTGTCATGTACTTCAGTAAGGCCAGGATTTTATCCAGCAAAAGGTTATCTCTTTGTTATATGTTTACCCTATGCTAGGCAGTGTAAAGCTAAGATCTCTAACCTCTATCACAACAAAATAAATACATAACGACTGCAGAAAAATGGAAAGAATCTATTTATCTTGTTTTTAGTTTCTAAGACACTGCTGTGAGTGCAAGAACCACTGAGGGACACTTTGCATGAACAGAAGGTTACTGAATTGGAAGCAAAGATTACTTGGACGATCTGGGTGTGGTCCATAAGGGAATGCACATTTCCTGAATACACGCAGGGAAAAAAAATCATGGTTCTATTATTTAAGACTGAAGTCTATAAAACCTACAAATCTTTCCCTAATTGGAGATTGAAATAGGAAATTAGAGACTTGTTGATAAACTAAAGACATGGTATTTGGAACAAAATACATGTGAGATATTAAAGAGATTTTTCAAATTAAATTAAGGCTCATGTTTGGATTATTCACTGGAACAGTCTCACAATAGCACTCTCGAGCATTCTGTCCAAAATGCAATGTCTTGGATTGTGAAAATATTTCACCTTGTACATTAGAACTCTGTCATTTTGGTACATTTTGTACAAACCACAAATTCTGTTGAGATTTTGGCCATATCAGAGTCAAAAATGTTTTTACTGGTTTTCATTAGACTTAGAACTAAATTCAGAAGGGGATCTGAGATATAAGAATCTGAATTATGTTCCTCACCCTGAAAAATGTTGTAGTTCTGATTCAAAGATCTGCTTTGTGCTTGTCTTTCTAGCAACTGTTATGTTTCTGATTTGCATTTCGGTGCTAAGCCAGTGCATCTGCTTACCTGCGATTCAGCAAAAGCTAGTTTATCTAGTCCATTTATATATCCTTTTTTTGCTTTCATCACAGTGTCACGTTTCTGAGTCAGAAGTTGTCGGAAGGCAGCAATAAGTTCAAGGTAAGATGTAGGAGTAACATAATTATGTCGTCCTAAGTCTTGCAAGAATCTATGGAATAGAAAGATTATCTTTCTAATTATAGCAAATTGAACTTAAAAGGTGGGATTAAAATTAAAGGTCTGACAACTAATGGGAGGATCAGTTAGTTTAAAGAATGACTGTTCCACTTCTAGTAGTGCTTTGTGATGTTGTAGACATGAGGGTCCAGAAAAAATGCAAGAAAGGATTTTTTTTGTGGGTAATATCTTTTATAGGACCATCTGCATGGATGGGATAAACTTAGAGAATCTTTAAAGTACCCTTCCTCACGGCTCTAGGAAAGAAGCCTGGGCAAGATGCTATCCCAACCATACAGTTGATCCAACAAAAGATCTCACCCACAAAAACCTTTATTTTACTTTTAAAGATTTTCTAAACTTATAAAGATCTTTATAATACAGTTGATCAGTAAAAGAATTTCATTAAGCAATATAGTTCATCGGCCAATTTCTTTACTAGTATTTTCTTGCCTATAACCTGAATTTCAGGTTTTTGCTTTAGATTATTATTTTTCATTTTACCACGTTCAATAACATAAGTAGTAATCATTTCCATCTTTTTACATTTATTTACATGAAAAAAAATTGGACTGTTTTAAAAAGATATACAAACTAACTTTGAAGAGAGTGACAAAACAGAAGTATGGAAGTGTTTACAGATGGGTACAACTTCTTGACGTTCATTGTCTGTGAGCTGAAGTGTTTCTAAGAACTTATTAGCCACACGTTCAAGGGCTCTACGTGAAG